TTTTTGAATTAGAAGACCCAAGCTCAGAAAAAAATTGCGAAGTCGTAACAATAACGACTTCAAGAACACCATACTTATATATTATAAATACTTCAAGCTTACGTATTACGTACTTATTTTGCATACGTTAAAGCGCTAAAACACAGGAAACACAAAACTAAAAAAAAGGGAAAAATTGTACCCACTGTCTGTTTTCAAGGTCCTAATAAAACTCGTTTTCTAGAAAATTCACTTTGGGATTATCCGCAACCCTGAACCCGAGAATCCATGCTAAAGCGGTAGAACGGCTGGAACATGTGTTTCCCAAAGCCTTACAATTTGGATCTGGACGATGGAACAATTCCGGCCAAATGAAACGCAGAGTCGCTGCGGAACCCTAAAACTCAAACTATGGCAGCATGCGTACTCCGCCGCAAAGCAGGGAATCCGCATGTGGAAAGGCCCAGCCAACGAGGAACTTCCTTTGAAGGAGGTCCACCTTCGCATGGCGCCGAAATCCCGTAACCCAGCCTTCCTGGACATTGCCCTCAATAATTGTTCCTCACAAGGAGTGCTGTTGCCGTGCTGACATAATCTTACTTACTGAACTGCTAAGGCCAGTGTATCTTCAAAATTCAATCATCGCGTCCTTTGTCCACTGCAAGCCTTTTTGACCTCCCTAAACCAGTGCGGGTAAGATAGCATAAATTGTACGAAAGCCCCGTTTCTTAGACCCATGGAAGCTGGTCGATTTGTGCCTTCTTACCTTTGCCTTTGCCGCAGTGGCAGCAACGTCATGGAGGTGGACGCCTGGAAGAACTGTTGAAACGCGTAAGGAGAGAACCGCAACTTCGTGCAGTGCGGGCCAAATCGCGCTCTGCCGGCCACCCTGAGGCCGGTTGCCTATTCAAGGGTCCTCTACAAAAATGTGGACACTCACACGATCGTTTTGGTGAGGCACTACCTTCAAAACAGCATCGCTCTATTAGCTTAATACACATGTATGATCAGCTCCCAGGTTCGTCCAGAAGCGAGTTGCGGAACTTCCCTGATACTAAGAATAAACTTTAATCTCCACCTAAGCGTTGTTTTCGTACTCTCGTGCCATCAAAAACCGCTAGGCTTCAAGCTGCCAAAATTCCGCTGTATATGAATTTGAAACCCGCTGATAAGTGCGGACTCTAAGATATGTTAACAACCGCTTTGCGCGATTAAAAGTGCTGGTGATGTAAGCAGATTACAAGGCTTATCAATTGCAGTGTCGGGGCACCAGCATCTCCACTCCCGTGCGGGACTTTGCACCTCTTCCACGAACATGCTTTCTAATGCCGCGAGAGAGCGGAGATGTTGGGGCTCCCAACACTTCAGTTGATAACTAAAGATACTAGCTCTCCTGTTATTTGCTGATTTGTGTCTCAATGTTCTCAAAGGTCTCCTAGCTGAGTATATTGCCGGTTTTTTATAGTATGCCTAAAAGAACTCAAAAGCTATTGTTGTTTGAATCTTCTCGTTGATTTCTTTAGCAGCGTCCAAGATTGGTACAGATATTTATTCCATAATATATATAGACTGACGTTTCGGCAAACTCGCCTTCTTCAGAATCTTAACAGATAATAGATTTTGGTGGGTGGAGGCCACATTAGTGGTCAACAAGCTCCACGCTGCCAACAAGTTCCAGGTACTCTTTGCCGATTGTGCACTAACATTACTGTCTACCGTGTCAGTCGCAGATATTTGGGAGTGTACCTCTACCCCTCTCCAAGAAAACTGTCTCAACTTGAAATCTCCAAAGATGTTCCAGATAGACAAGAACTTCCACATGATTCGAATCCGAAAAAAGCCAATCATGACCGTGGCCATCGCATTCATTCAACTGTATATTCTTCTGCGACTGCAAAGAGTTACGTAAGAGAAAACCAAATGCGCACTTGGATTCTTTTGCATTTTATAATTGAACAAAGAGTGGTGCGAAGTGGGTTGATGTAGTTTATACTTAGGGAGACTCGGATTTTATTTTGAACAAGATCGAATATTATTCAAAGATTCTGAATATTCGGCTTTCAAATGATGTTCGAAAGATTTGAAATTTTACAATAAAACGAGCTCAAGTTTTCGAATAATAATAGCATTTCAATTACTAATAAATTAAGTTGCCTGCGATGACACCAAGTCCAGAAGGTGAGTCGTTACTTATCTTTATTTTTGACAACTTTAGCATAGCTAAATTGATTTGCCCTACTTTCCGGCGTATAAGCCGCACATATAAGCCGCACCCGCCGCAGCGTACAATGGCTTTTAAAAAACGTCTTTCATTGTAGAAACTGATGACTCCGTCCAATTGGTGACTGCTCTTTAGTGCAGATACTCATATCCTCACGTATTTTTTTACTATTTCAAAAAAAACTCGGACGCTTTTGCGCTGTCTAGGTTGTGTTTTTTATCAGTACAATGAAGTTGACAATGCCTTTTTGTTTTCAGCGATGTTACCGGTACTCAAACTGTACTCTTTTCTGATTCCTCTATTACTACCAGTATTTCAAATTTACTTCAACTGCCTTTTGTTGCTTTTACAATGCTTCATCGACTTCCAAAAAGAAATTCAACGTACCCAGATGGCATACCATACATATTTTTGAAAAACGCCGCTCTAGGGCTTGCTTCTCCTCTTACAATAATGTTCAATAGGTTTCTACTGAGAGGAGAAGTTTCCGAAATTTGGAAACTTGGTCTAGTCAAACCAATACACAAAAGAGGACTTAGGTCAACTGTTAAAAACTACCGTCCTATCTGCCTTACATGCTCCACATGTAAGGTGATGGAAAGATTGGTTTGTCAGGGGATTCTTGGATACCTTTCTCGAAACAATCTTCTGTCGGCGGCGCAAAATGGCTTTCTTAGCAAAAGATCAACCGTATCCGCTTTAATGTCTACGGTCCCCTTATGGCATAGAGAAGTGGACAGAGGTAGATATGTTTCGGTTTGCTTTGTCGACTATAGTAAAGCATTTGACTCACTTGACATATCCTTGCTGCTCCTCAAGCTTCAAGCATATGGTATTCAGGGGTCACTCTACAATTTTTTGGCTTCTTTCCTAAATGGAAGGCGGCAGTCGGTAGTCATTAACAACGTTCGTTCACGGATATACCCAACAACTAGCGGTGTACCTCAAGGATCTGTTCTTGGCCCTCTCTTGTTCCTCATTTACGTCAATGACCTCCCGGATGTACTTCCTGCGGGTGCATTTTGTTCGATATATGCCGATGATTCCAAGATATATACCATTGATGATGCCCCCCTGCTACAAAACGCCATAGATTCTCTTGCCCTTTGGTCAACAGCCTGGGGACTGAGTATTTCCAAAGAAAAGACATCCATCATGGGTTTCGGAAAAACCCACCCCGAATGTGATTTCATGCTTGACGGCTCGGTTTTGCACCGCGTTCATGTAATTCGGGACTTAGGCCTTAGATATTCAAGCACATTTGACTTCCATGATTACATTCATGAGATTACATCAAAGGCAAGTTGCCAGTCTAATTACCTCCTGAAAGCTTTCAAAAGCCGAGATCCTTTGCTCTTATTTAGATTATTTTCCACTTACGTTAGACCACTTCTTGAATATTGTACACCACTTTGGTCCCCCCAAAGTAAGACCTTGATAGAAGAAGTAGAGAAAGTCCAGAAATCTTTCACTTACAAAATTTTTGCTCGGAAGGGTATTTTTGGGTTATCATATCTCGCCAGGCTGAAGAAACTCCAAGCAAATACTTTGGAGGATAGAAGACTTCTTGCTGACTTAACATTTATGTACAAACTTACAACAAATGAACTGGATCTCGACTTATACGATATCTTCGAACATCCGTATCGTGCGAACTACACGAGGGGTCACAGTTTTAAGATTCGCATTGAAAAACCCAGTCTTGCATCATTTAAGCAATGCTTCATCTGCCGCGTGCGGATGCTCTGGAATTCTCTAGATCCTCTACTGTTCAGGTACTCATCATCAACTAGCTTCTACCCTCAGCTTATGGAATACTTGAGATCGCGTAATCTAATGATATCTTAGTACAAAGTGAGATGGCTTCATCGCCAGATTCTTTTTGTGTTTGATTTTCGATTCATGTTTGTTGTGTTTTTATGTGTCGTTGGTTCTCTTTCTTTTTAAAACTCAGTCTATTTCGTCAAAAAAAGTGTGTCCAGGTGATTAAGTGATATATGGCTGAAATAAAGAAAAGAAAAGAAAAGGCTGGATCATACTAATCCGCAAGTTCCGGAACAGCGCTCGAATTGTGCGCTGAGTGGAACCGTTTCGGAAGGTACGGTCCAGTATGAACCGAGCCTAAGGCATGTGGCCTCACAGCAGACTACACATTTTTGTTCATGCGTTTCATATTCGTGTACTTTCCAAAAAGGTATACCAAAAGTACAAGTGTGGTAGTAATAATAATACAAAGTTAGTAACAGAAGTAGGTAAAACAATTAACAATTGGAACCTGCGCGGCTTCGCGCACCGCGAATGTCATCGCGAATTAGCTCGCGCGCGATGGAACTAATTGCGGCTTATACGAAAAATAGGGTTTTTATCAAAATGCATTTGATATCAAATTTTCAGGTTGCACCTAAAATAGACCTAGAAGGTGATCAGAATGGAGGGGAGTTGAGGTAGTGACAACACCGTTACGCGTATTTTTAATTTTAATTTGCAATGACAAGTAGTTAATATAATACAGTCTAGCAGCTAATCCAGATTCCAGCTGAACTGCCCGCGTAGCAATAGTAACAATCAATTTTTTCGTAGGAGCTTGTTTACGGATAGAACGATTTTTGCGCGATCATTCCAGCGAATTTGCAAATTGATTTGATCAGGTTACTGCCGTTAATAAGGCCATACTTGCGACACGGATTGCTACGCCAATTCTGTTGAATTACAATTTGCTAAAGCAAATTGTGCTCCTGAACATCTTTCGAAAAACTAGAGCAAGCTCATTCACAATTTTCTCAGTCTTAAAAGTGCTTATATGGTTTTCAGCAGCTCACATGCAAGAAGACGTTCTTTTTCACTCAAGATAGCGATCGTGACCATCGTTGACAATGCTACTTCATATGCGGAGTACGTCGAAGCTATGAGTTAGTGATATCCTTGCTCTCTGTCTTACTTTTCCTTTGCTCTTGAATAGGGAGGTTGGCGCCCTGCCAACCCCACATACATATTTGAAGAAAAATTTTGTGCTAGTTGAAGGATCCGCATTTTTGATTGGTGACCTTGGTTTTTTTGCTTCACTGGGAATCACTTACACATAGTAAACCTCCAAATGCTTCAGATGACCTGAACAGCCGTTGAGGTTCGTGAGGTGAACTTATGAGCGGCCATTCCCTTATGCTTTGAGAACGCAACGTGTTCTGACAGGTGATCCTCGGGCAGGTGCCGCGCTGATCTCACCTGACTTTTCTAAGGGAAGGGAAGGCCCTTTTAGACGAAACGGTGAAACAAACCGCGTAAGTTGCTTATGAGTAAGATATGGGACAAGTAATATGACATAACACTGCGGACGACAGTGTGCGAAACTGCACTATTCGGGGGGCATACGGATACGTAGGTTCAATGAATAGGTGATTGCAGCAAGGGTAGGTATCAAGCTTTCCTTCTATTTCGCTATAGGATATCTTGATCCTTCTTAAAGGAATTACTCATAGAAGAAATTCATGTTTTTCTTTATTTTTCGAAAATCGCGATTTTTATTAGTGCTAAATTATATTTTCAATTATTGTCTCTGTTTGCCTAGCAAAATCTTTGGCAGCGCCCAGAATCAATTCATCCATAGTGGCTGCTATCAAAGAATGCCCTGATATAGCAAAAATAGTAGCAGTTGCCGGTCTCGCCCCGTGGCGCCTCGTGTATCTCATGAGGTTCAATCATATGACCAAACCTGCATAAATGCAGCAGCTGTTTCTTTTGAAGCACGAAGTTCGTGTCATTTTCTACAAAACGATCCGCATGCGGATCAATGACTCACTTGATACCGCGCTAAGGCTCCGTAAGATCAACTTAGGCCCTTCTCAATGGGGATGCACTGACGAGGGGTTTACTACGCGCCATTGAGTCACAGTAAAACTTCAAACTATTACTTTCATGAACCTCAGAAACATTGCAGAATGAAAGAACTGTCAACCACTGCTTCTCAACAATTTGCTTGCCAATTAATTTTTTTGCTGAAGAAACTGCAAAATGGAATTTGCCAGTCTTGAATCAGATAATGAATTAAGACTCAGTCGCTTGTTATGCACGAATCCACAGCTACGAATATCGCGTGATAATCGCAGACTCGCATACCAGTGGATGCGTCCAGGATGAGGTATTCAACTTTTTTTCCATCACTATAATGCTACGAATAAAGTGAAAAGCTGGAAGATATGAGCTTCATTACTCTAAAAGGTTTTCTGGATTCAATGAGATCCATAATAAAATTTTGGAAGAAAAGTTCAAGAAATTCGAATGAAAATCAGGACTCCCTCCAAAAAGATCCGAGACTTCGACTTGGTCGCGTGTGATCTCCACATCAGACATACATATGCACTTGCTGTGCTTTCCACAATTGAAAGAAAAATGAAAGTACCAGAAATGCCACTCGTTACTCGATTTATATATTTCGATCTAATATCTAGCAAGGCTGAGCAGGCCCTGAAGAAGGCGGACGCCGCTGTTATTGACTGATATCATAGTCTTTTTCCTTGATGGACAGCTACTATTTTTTAAGTAGAAAAATCTGCGAAAACACGAAAATTTCGGTTTATTAAGTTCCTTGAATTTTGCTATTTCTTGGAAACTAACGCTCGTAGGAGGCATAATTTATTCTTGTAATTCCAAATGGTTTTAGTATAAAATTACTTAAGTAGGATTACCTCAGCATTGCTTTTGCTAAAACATGCCAATTCCATATTCTTCTTCGCAGAAAACGAAAGCCAGTGCAGAATTGGGTATCTGATGTGAACAGTATATGCGTGACCAAACTGAAGTTCCGCAGACTTTTTTTGATGTGGCTTCTATGGAAGTCGCAATTAAAAGTTGCATAGATTTCATGTTCAGATGTTCTTCAGACGGCATTGTATAGTGGCATCAATATTGCACAATTATGATTACATTCTCTTCCTCGACGCTGACATCGGAGTGGTTAATCCTAACAGGTCCTAATAGTTACGATATTCCGTATTTATACGCACACTTCCAAATTCATTCTAATACTTTGCTAAGACTTCTCTGACTCAAATTCATATCCTAAACACTTCACGATAACGGTGCAGATAATGCAGCAAAATAAGAGAAGTTAATTCGTGATTATTTATCAGTTAGTAATCGGATTACTCTTCTAATTGATGTGTTCCATAACTGGCAAATTATTTTGATAAAAATGCCAATCCTTTCCTAGGATGAAAAAAAGGAATGCTTCTTCGGATCTATTAAAAATAAAAATGTTTTAGAACTATTGAAGATTATATTGAGCCTGGAATAGACATCACTTTTTACGACAGATTCTACACTTTTGAAGTGATGGCAGGAACATATTTGGTGAAAAATACCGCTTGGGCTCGTGATTTCCTCAACGGTCAGTTATAATCACACAGTCATATATCATCTGTTCTCAGACTAATAGACTCGAGCACTCAGTGGCACCCACTATTAATACCTCTAAAAACACTTCTAACCAACACGCTAAACTCTTCATCATTCACGGTAGAGAAGCCAACAATGCCTTTTACTTAGCTAAATTGCCTTCCAAAACCTTTATTGGGCCGGGTAGTACCGTGGAACCGGCTAGTTGTGAATACTTTAAATGACGAACACTTCCCTATCCATCCGCCATCCTCGTGCCAAGCTCCATATGCTTCATGGGTAGAGGGTCGAACACCTCAATTAGGCACCGCTTTCGCGGACTGCTGGTCCTTTTGTCCCACTGTTGTGCATCGTGTTAGGACCAGCAGTCCGCGGAGGCGGTGCATAAATAAGATTTTTCCCTACCCATGCTCCGCTTCACAGCAAGGGTTTCCCGTTTGCAAAATGCGTAGCATTACAGTGAAAAGATGAATCAAACAATCCAACTCAAAAACAACTTAGTCGACTCTCTAAAGTTTCCCTGCACAAGTTAGCAGCGTTTCTTTTTTAGGATGGGCGAACTACGAATATCGGCTACCCTCTAGTTTCCATGGTTCCGACAATGGCGCTCTTAACGTAAGTCTTTCGCTTTCCCCAAATATAGCGGCTTCTTCACGAGTTATTACCTATGTCAGATGTTTAAAAAAATTTTTGAGCACAATAAGGTTCCCCCCATAGCTAGGAGGGAGTCTTACAAAGCGCCTTTGTTATCAGCGCACGGCACAGGTGGCTTAGCAAGCAAGCTGGATATCGTTTTTGGGGAAAAAGCAAAAGGGATATCGTTATTGCGGAAGAGCATAACGTTGTCTTTCGATCTGCGCCCGGCACGCTGCCGGCATGCCGCCAGCAAATAAACAAAGGGTTTGTTTACAGCGAAGTGAAGGTGAAATGACACCAAAATGGGTGTGTAGATGGGCAATGGGGAGTTAGGACTAAGTATGAAAAATTATGAAAAAATTATGTGAACTAAAGGCGTGCTCAACTTTTTTCGAAGTTAGGTGGCTTTCAAGCCACCTGGATAGCCACCTGAGGTGGCTTAGGAAAGAAAAAGTCATAAATTTTTCCTCCCTCACATAATTTTTCTACTTTCTTTACATACTTTTCATCTACATCCCAAACCCTACAAACTGGTTCCTAAACCGCCTCAAACCCCCTTCTCCCCGCTTAGTTATAGCCCCTCGAAAATTTTGAATGGTGGCGGAAAGGCTGCTCTAGGCGCGTGTTGCTGCACGATGGATACATCATGCCGCCAATCCGGAGAATATGAATATCATCGCGTCTGTTCAATGATTCTTTTTCGTTTTTTTCCTACTGTTGCTTTGTTCGTTCCATTTCATGTATTTTCTCTTCGAATATCTCGTGGCGGATGTCGTAATTTCATTGAAGTCAAAGGGGACTTCATTTTTTGCAATTTCGGGACGCCACCTCGTGCCGAGCCCTAGTCTAGGGTCAAAGGGGACTTCGTAACAAATCGCAAAAGTCAAGGGGGACTTTGTTTTTTGCATTTTCAGCTAGCCACCTCGTGCCGAGCCCTGTTTGTTATCGTGCTTTGCACCGAACTTCAAGATGGGATCCTACATGGGATCTGGTTTTGCAACTCTATAAGTTGCCGACGCGCTGCCTATGAATTCAAAGCAAACGAATTTGACAATTGAAACATTACACCAACTCTCCAACTGGCCAGTGTCCTTGTGGCGATTCTAAAACCTAACTACCTAGATCTCACTTGAGAAGTCAACGGTCAATATATACGACGCTATGCAGCCTATTACTTGAGCTGATGCGTGTCGAGACAGCAATAAATTACTAAGAGTTAATTTTAATGGCATTAATTAAACAAAACTACAATACTATAGCAACCGAAATAGCGCTACACTACCAAATAACAACCCTGAAACGGGGAAAGATGCCCCATCTCGTACTATCGGTGGTGTGCGTATATTATAACCCTTACACTTGATCTCCCTAGGCTTTATTCAAATAATCCCCCACGTGTCCCAAGGTGGAGACACACCACAGCTTCTCCACTCCCAAAGTTCTTTAGATCTTAGTATCCTAAATTCGAAAAAGTTCCAAGCCTACTTCGTCTCGAAACCGATTCAAAATTCAATCCGAATCAGTCCAAGCTCAATCTCGATAAACTGGACCGCTAACGTGAGAGGGATAATCTAAAGAGGGAATACAACAGCCTGGCACGATCAAGATATCAAGGAGAGGTCCGGAGGCGATTGCGGAAATGCATGTGAACTACCATGAGTCGCCGAATAGCGCGACAACCAAGCACCCGGCCTTTTAGGAATGCGCTCGGATTGCGGAGATGGACAGTGACTGTCGTGTCTCCACAATGCGAGAACTCCTAAGAGGTTCCGAAGGTCAACGTTGGCTATCTTAATAGGCATTTGGTTTAACATCGGACAACAGGGGAAGATATAGACTCGCAGTGGGGTTTCGCTATGAAATGTATATCAGTCGAAAGGTCATTGAGCGGTGAATTCAAAGACCTTTCATATCTGCTTATCGCTTCACTGAACAAAGTTACAGGCATTTGTTTGGCCTTAAATGACAGTAAACCGATAAGCAGATATGGGAGGTTGTTTTGAAATCACGTTCAAAGGCCTTTCGACTGATATATAGGCCGTATCAACCAGCGTCGGTCCGCACTGGTATGCCTTGCGAGGAACGAGTTGCAGAGTTTGCATGCGTGATACCCCACTGTCGCTAGTCGCCGCAGGCGCAATATCGCCAAACCGATACTCGTTGATACAGCCTACATCCCATAGGGATACTCCACTGAGTCATATACCTTCTCTTGTAAGTTAACATGGAACATCATTTTTACTGTTATATACTCAGAGTTAACAATAACTTGGTCCACGACCGATGTTTCTCTGATAATCGAGTTAGCAATCTCACTGGAAAGCTGTAGAAGTCATCATAAGCCAACTATTCGTACAAAGACTGGTGATCATCGTTATTTCCCCATAGTTTATACATTGGGGGTCCTCAATTTCTTTTTAATCTCGAGATTTTCTTGCCACAATAATATTCTCTAGATTTACCTCGTGGAATTGATTGCACCATCACGTGACATCGAACTTGATTTGTGTCGTCAGATTTGGAATGTGTCTCTTGACTGGAATGACGTATTTGTGTTTACTGCTTGTGTAAGAAATGTTCTTGGAGATCAAGCATATTTCGACAATATAAAAATATTGAAGAAGGTATAAGAATAGTGAGCGCTTTACATGGTTTTGGTTTTGAGGACATTGATTTCTAGGGTACTGGCTGGGCTAGAGACTCTTTTTTAACTAATTCCAAGTGGAATCCACTAAAAGATTTCATGCTCCACGATATGAAATTGGCATATCGGCGATATTACCGACCGCTTACCGTGGTGTTACCGTGAGTATAAACACGCTGAAAGGCTTCACTCTTAGCTGGTACAATATTCTCTGTGAGATGACAAAAACCTATAACAACTTTTAGAATAAGAACAATGGAAATGCATACATGGTACAATCCATTTGTCGGCAATTTTCATTTGGAGCTATGTCATTCAGGGTAGATAATTCCGTAACTTACATGTAAATGTTGTGTGACTTTCACAATTTCAGAAACTCGTCGTGGAATTACGACAAGCAGTTGATTATTCCAGTGTCCGAATTGGAAGAGCGATATCGCAAGAAGTACATCGAAGTTCATCTTCAGAAGCTAAGAGCATTAGTACGGGTTGGAAAACTTGTAGAAAAATATGTATCTCAAGCTAGTCTGTCATACTTTGCACGATACAGCGATGTGTGATGTAGAACTCCAAATCTGCTATTATACTTTACTGCTTCGGAAAAATGAATGCTATAACATCAAATGCTTTTTTGAGACTTTCAAACGCAGGCAAGATTTACTGACGTTCGAAGCATAAGGCAGTCTTAACGAGTCATGGTCATAGGTCAGATTTTTTGGCACAATCATATTAGTCAGACTAGAAGTACATGTTTTTCCCTTATAAATTCGGTAAGTTTTATAAAGCCCTGTAAAGCTTAAAATTATCAACAAAAGCACGTCGAGAATTTACCACACCTTAAAAATAGTTAGAGCGGAAGCTTGTAAGTCCAGATATTGAAGAGCACGGGCAAAAGGATAATCAAAAACTCAACACTGCATTCTTCTGGTGGTGGAGAGCTACAAATAACATGTACTGCAAACGCTTTCTAAGGTTTGACGCAAGCTACAATTCTACATGCTTGTAAAGCTTTTTGTTTTAACATTTTGGGTAATTTTTAATGCCCGATTTTCAAAAATCTGTGATTTTCGTAAACATGTTGTCAAAATCTTCGTCGTGCATGTTCATACCATTGTGAGTAAGAAAGGAACTCGGTTAGGTGATCTGCGCTCGCAAAAAGCGCAGCGCTTTGTCGTGTTTTGTTTGTTGATTGTTTTTCTTGTTTTGACACGGAGCGATGGTGCCGCAACAGGATTTTTCTTCGAGTTTTCGTTTCTCTTATCTGTCCATTGTTTCGTCATTCTGCCATCAAGGCAGATTTCATGTTTTGTTTTCCTTAATTTATCGACAATTCTTCTCCTAGCAACTCCTTTGTCCACACCACACGGTCCACGCTATACACCTATCACCTATCTTCTCTTCTTATTTTTATGAGCGTATATGTCAAGACTGTGGTGCTCTCATTCAGAAAAGGTGTGAATTATTGAGCCGGATACAACTTTTACATGAAATTTGCTAAGTTCTGATAGCCCCACAATTTTTTTACATTCGGTCCAAGATCCACATTCATAAATTCTTACAAGGGAAGGCTGCCAGGGGGCGGTATGCATCAATCTCCCTTTTCAAAAGCGGGCATTTATTTTCAATAGAAAATGATCGCACGACCGGGTAAGCGCCCGAACTGTGATGTATGAGACTCGCGGACGCCCAACCCGGACGGGCAGCAGCACCGCAGCTCGCAAGGTCGGGTACCTACTTGTCAGCAGCCGCGCCCCAATCCTTTGCGCAGTGGCTTTTTTACATTTTACGCATACAAGAAGACGAATACGAGGTAAAGAGTTAGAATGATTGTGTTTCTTGGAAAAGTGAGGAAAATTAGGCCAGAAAATGCTTACAGTAATCTTAGAGGAAAGCGTCGAATGCAAAGATAACGAACTTACTTCATTGTGAATTTTTCTTAATGCAACTTGCTTGACCATAAGTGTTTTTGTTTTTGTCCTTTGCTCCAGGACAGCCGACAAGAAGTAGAGGTCCACCTTCTATAAGTTTTATACGGCGCCATGCTATGCTGCTAAGAGTATGTGCACAGCTCATACATGGCATTTATAGCGAGAAAGTTGGAGAGAATTACTGCAACACGAACGAACTTCAACAAGTTCATAAACGTGGATCCTATAAACTGCGCAAAATTCGCATATCATTCATTTTCGTCAGCAATGACGGATACATGGTGTGCTGCGATTCACGTGTGAAACTGTCACCTTTTTCTAGAGCATGGGACGCTAGCAGAAGTTTACCAAAGATTGTTGAGTGCGTTATTTAGAGATAGGTTCACAACATTTATTTTGATAGCAAAACTAATGAAGAAAAGCGCAACAAGTCTTATGTGTCAAATAGTGCCAAAAATTCGTGCTTAGATGGAGTTCAAATGTTCAAACCTAGAAGTTTTCAGATTATATAAATGCTTCTCAAGTTGAAAAAGAGAAAAGAACATGCGCGCATTGAGTTCAAGCAGAAAAAATGCAGAGAAACGCATGAACTGAGCACTCACAGAACGCGTCAGGAGGGCACTGCATATGCGTCAGCATGCATATCATATGCAGAATGCATCCTATTGATCTCAAACCAGATAGACCGGCTTCTTGTCAGAGTAACATCCCAAAATGATGCATCGCGGGTGCGGGCGCCCGTGCCCGGTCGGGTAACGATCCGGCGGGAACCCCCTACCGGGCGGAGGATTGATGCATACCGCCCCAGCGCAGTGGCGAACCGAAATGATATGCATATTTTTGGATGCGCTTTGATGAGCTGATTCCAAATCTAGCTTTCCTGTCTGCTACGAGCTTTTCTAGAAGAAGCTATGGGCGTTGGAATGTCCAAATTTAGCAAACATTTAGTAACACATCTTCAAGAACTACTTGTTTGAAGGCACTTACTCATGTGTTCGGTGTATGCATGCATTTTTTGTATCAGTGTACTCAAAACCATGCAAGTTGATCACTCCTAGGCTAGTTTGCAAAGCGCACTACTCATCAAAATCCCGACAATCTTACATCTTCAAATGCACATAGCTTTTTCTAGAGAAGCTCGTAGCAGATAAGAAAGGTAGATTTGGAATGTGCTCATCAAGACGCATCTAATGATATGCATATCATTCGGGTTCGCCAGTGCGACCTGGTGTCCTTCCCTTGTCAGATTCTCCAGTTCTAAACAGCAACGTAAAAGATCTTGCATTGTAAAAATACATTTTTATCGAAAAAAAGAGACATGCATAGTAGCTGGTGTTGTATCTGACGAATGGAGTAAAGCTTAGTGTAAGAGTTTGGAGCATTCAAGGGTTGCAAATACTTACTTACTTACTTACTTAGATACTTAGATGGCCCGGCTTCACGTGACGTGCGGGCCCCAGCTCAGAAGTTTCATTTCTCCCTGTCCCTCGCTTCAGACATCCACGATCTTCTTGGCTGACGTCGGTGGCTGCGTCCACGAGTTCCAGGTGCAAAAATCGTATCCAGCTGATTTCTCAGCTGGTCCATCCGTTCCAGGAACACGTCTGCCCATCTCGTTGGTGGTCTTCCTCGAGGACGTTTGGCTTCGCGAGGAATCCACTCCGATGTTCTTAGTGTCCATCTGTCGTCTGTTCTTCTCATAATGTGACCGGCCCATCGACGCTTCGCTTTCGCAACGTAATCCGCTGGGTCACGAAGACGGGACATTCTCCTCATATCCGTACTGCGAAGTCCGACGAGATGTTGTTTGTGTCGGGTCATCTCCAGAAGACTACGCTCTAGCGCTCTATGGGTAGTCCTCAAAGCTTTCGAGTGGCGACGGTGTCAGCCCAAGTCTCAGCTGCGTAACAGAGCGCCGGGAAAACGGTTGAGTCGAACAGGTGGGCACGAAGCTTCGGGTCCGTCAGTTGGTCGGTGTTCCTTCAGAGACCCGAAGGCGGCCCAGGCTGCTCTTCTTCTCCTATTAAGTTCTTCTCTCAAGTCGTTCTCCATGGCCAGTAGTAATCCCCCCGACCTGGCGGCAGGTCTTGTTGGCAGGTCGCTGGCACCTTTTCCGTGAGGTGGCCAGAAACTAAAACCTTAAATTTAGGCCGTCCCAGGCCTTTTTCCAAAAAAATTTCTTGACGAAGATGCCGCCTCGACTCTGTAGAAAATTCCATAGAAATCTGCGGTTCTAGAAATCCTTCTGTAGAAAAATATTTGGAAGCGCAGAAGGAGCTGCCGGCAACTTCGCGATGTCAGTTGCCGGCAACCTGCCGGCAGCTCGTCGAAATCCGCGAGATGGCAGCTGCCGGCAGGTCAGAGAGTACGGAAAATAGCGTGTTCTTTTAAGAGAGGGAGCTGCCGGCATCTCGACGTGCCCCTACCACGTCGAGGTGGTGGCACCTTTGCCGACGGCGTCTGTGAGTTTGCGAATTGCGGCGATATCACACAATTTACGTCAGGCGAAAAAATCAAAAAACTCTGTTTCTTCAAAAAACTATCATTTTTTCTTATTATATGAGTTTTTCTTTTTTGGAACGACGATTTTCTTACAGAGAAAAAATCTAGTCATGCCTTAGAACCACAAAGAACACTATCTTTTTTGGCAATCCTTTCTAAATCTCGTTTGCACCGATTTCGCCCCTCTCTCGCTCACATCAATCAGCTGTTCTTTTAGGTCAAAGTTTCTCACGCAATGTATTGATCCCACTTACAGGTGGCCACTTACCGGTGCGTTCCTCCTATTGCTGGTGCAAACGGCATGCTGACCAAATGGTCGAACTGTTGTTGACGTGGTGGCACTTCAAGTTAATGCACATAGGTTCGATCGCGCGCGAGGTAGCAGTTTTGCGGCTGTGTGCGTCATCAAAATTTGATGTGCGAAATGATTGCGCACTAAGGTTACATAAGATTATCAAAACCTACAATCACTCCACGAGCTGCCGTCGATGATGGCAACTTCCCCGCGATGTGTGCCTACCTGCCGGCATCTTTGATGCCACCAGGTAGGGTAGATTACTACGGGCCCATGTTCATCGAACGTCCGAGATACACGTAAGAAGACGTCTCCATGATAGGGATGCCCTTCCAATTCCATTTCTGCATCTTCGCAAAGGGCGTTCTTTATGAACTGAGTCTTTTTCCGATTGATTCGCAATCCGATCTTCTTCCCTACTTCGTTCAGTTCCTTCAGCATCGTCTCTGCTTCAGTGATACTGCTCGAGAAGAGAACGATGTCGTCCGCAAAGCGAAGGTTGGACAGGAATCTCCCATCAACTCGTATGCCTCTCTCGTCCCAGTCCAGTGACTTCATCACCCACTGCAAGGCCGCGGTGAACAGCTTCGGCGAAATTGTGTCGCCTTGTCGGACCCCCTTTCCAATTGGGATGGTCAGGGGGCGATGGAACAGCTGCATCTTTGTTGTACAGTCCTTGTAACAGTCGGCTAACGTCCTCACGTAAGCTGGGTCCACTCCTTGACCGACTAGCGCAGACAGGATGGCATTGGTTTCGACGCTGTCAAAGGCTTTCTCGTAGTCGACAAAGGTTAGGACGAGAGGCAGTCGGTATTCCCGGCAGACTTCTATAACC